ATTACTGCTTGGCTTTTTCCAGTTCATCCTGGGCAAGTCTCGATCATCAACTGACGTATGCAGGATCATTCGAAGCTTCAAATCTTGAGGTGTCTTTGACTCATCACAAGTCTCTTCCTGCTCCAAGAATGTATCGAAATCTTCCTGCCTTCGCCTTCTCTGAATTCCATTTGTTGCTGATACACGACGGTGAAGATTCATTTGTTGGTGTCTATAACTGGAGCGCAAGGGAAAGGGAAGCAACGGGGAGAGAGGGGACCAGGGGGGAGGGAGGGAGCAGGGAGGAAGGGAGGGGAGCAGGGGGGAGGGAGGGAGGGAGAAGAGCATGGAAGGAGGAGGGGAGGGATACTTGCAATGGAGATCTCAGGATTTTTAATGAAAATTATTTGCTCTTTGATCGGGGGCAAGGGGACCTGTGTTTCGGTGGCACCCTATAGACATAGGGTAGGTATCCATATAAAACAACCGGTGTAGAAAAAAAAGATTGCCGTTGCTAGCTGGCATACGACTCCTTGATTTGAAAACAAAAATACTTATTGGCTGGATTTACTACACTCGTCAATGGCTGACACTAATAAGATTTCATGAGCGTGTATCGAAATATACGAATAACCCTACCCCCTCCACATCAGACAAACATACCGGTACACAGGGTAGAGAGCAGCCAAGAGGCGTGTAAGCCGGAACTCAAATGCTTAAAACAAATATAAAAGAGTACTGAGTGGTACAAATCATCCTGGTACAAAATTGACTAAAAACTGTATGCTTATGATCAAATTAACAGGTACAAGTGTTTGTTAAAAGGATATTAATTTATAATTGGGCATTAGTAAATGCCATGGAATGCAGAGGGCGGCCCCCGGTTCACCCTGCGGCCGCTTTCCGCGCCGCAGGCCGCAGTGCGGCAGCCCCCGCAGGGCGCTGAGTCACTGACTCACTGAGCCTCCCCTGGCAGTCCCGGTCCGGGCCGCCGGGTGCGGCCGGGCCCCCCGGCCGGCGGCGGCGGCCGCCCCCGGGCCGCCTCGGAGGCGCCGCCGCGGGCGCCGGGACCGTTCAGGCTCCCGAAGCCGCAGTGAGTACCGTAGTTTCCGTTCGCTTCGCGGCGGCCCGGCGGGGGCCGCGGGCGCCCAACTTGCGGCCGCGCCAGCCCGGGCAGCCTCAGTGACGACCGTCGGCCGGGCTCGACGATCCGGCGGGAGTCCGACCAGTCTGACCGTCACTGAACCGCCGGCACTGTGCGGTAGTCGGCACTTTCAATCAACTTGACCAGGGTTTGGTTCAGCCCGGCCCGGCCGCGCGGCTGAACTCCGATCATCCGATCATCAGTCCGACTCGGAGCGGGTGACCCGGGCCCGGGCCCGGCGCAGTTCGGAACTTGGTATGGGCCGGGTATGAGGGGGATGAACGGATTTGTTCTCGATCTGCTGAGCTTGAAGAAAGCGATGGTGCAGTTGCGAAGGACCGAAGATGTGGTGATAGGCGACGAGTGGATGAAGAGATCAGGAGATGAGAAGTTTTGATCATGCTGAAAGCACGAGAACAAATGCCAGTTGAAAAGATGTGGAAGCCAGCGGGTAGATCAACAAGGAAGGATATTCAAACACCAAAACAAGGATCGAAGAATATAGATGTAGGAGACGGACAGAAATATTGTCATGAAGAGAATCCTGGATAAATGGCAAACAAATTGTGGATGATAGAATGTATTCAAACCTGTATTAGTGCAATTTTTGTTTTTCTGGCCAAGGGAGAAAATTCAACAATGACGTTTGGTATGCAAAACACCGGAATCGCATGTATTGGCTTTTGTACCTGTCCAGATCTTTGGTATTGATTGTTTGTGTGGCTACTGAATCAGTGTGCTATGATGGATCCTTTGTCAGGGGGTCAGCTTGCATGGATACTGCACAGTCTGAAGTACTTTGACACCTCTCTGACGTCTACCAATGTAGGAGTGCTTGCTGCAACTAGCGGGACAGCATGGACTTCCACGTTGGTAAGGACGAAACTCAGATCTATTTCTTTGGGACTTACCTCCGATGCCAGGATGGGGAGGGTTCGACCCGAGGAACCGCAGATCAAATGAAGGGAGGAGAAGTCAGGAGGAGGTTGGGAGCGACGAAGATTGTTTTGTGTGATGTAAGCGTTTGAATATGACAGGGAACACAAACTACAAGTCCGCTAACCAAGATGATGTCCTCGCCCAAGGTAGATGCTCTCTCCTTTCTCCTAGCATCGTGCTCCCCTCCTCCCACAAACTCTTCCTCTCTCCACCCTCCATCGTTCTCAGTTTTCGCGTTTCTACTCGGAGCCAAATTTAACCAACTCCTTGAAAATTCTCTCGAGCAGTTAACCAGCGCGTCTGGAGGGTCGCATTCCAACGAGTTTCCGCGAGATCGTCCAGCTCTCTTTAAGTCAGAATTTGCTATCTTTTGTTCTTGTGTAGATCTGCTTACTGCATTTGGTGACAGGGGATATTTGTCCAAACTTGGCAAGAACAGGTTGTTGTAAACTTGTTTGAATGTCTGAAATCTGATTTTGAGTGTTGCTATCAGAATCATGAAGCGATGGCAGCAAGTGCGTCTCATTGGAATCGTGATTGTCCATTCTTAGTTGTGCTACAGCGATATTTTGTTCTTTACGAGGGTCTCTTGGTTTACTGGGCAGATGAGAAAGACTTCATCAACAAGAGGCGGTAGCCACTTATCCTGGGATCGTCGTTTATTGACAGTTTTGTGTGTTTGTCAGGCCCAAGGGAGTTATCGAGCTCGCTGAGTGTTCTCTAGCTACAGCGGAGCAGGTGAATTAGAATGCCGTTGAATTCAGTTGCCTTCTCACCTGCCCTCCCAGCATACAAGGAGACTGAACACGATTGGTGATGATCTTTGTGTGAATGACTAACATCTGTGTCGTCATAAATGATTCCGCATTGCCGTGCTGTGATAGCTGCGCACATGTGTGGTGCTTGACTTGGAACTGTTGCGGAACAGGTATTTTCCATCCTCAGAGAAGGGAATACTTTTTAGAGGCACCAAGTCGACCAGTGGTAATGTTTCCATTGTCCTCGTTCTTGTGCTTCTGCTTTGGTCCAAAGGGCTTATACGATGAATCGTGTAGCTCCTAGAATGGGTGAAGAGAATCGAGGGCTTCCTTGGGGTTGGAGAAGAAGGAGTTGCCATCTCCGACTTTGAGTGCTTGAGCATCGTCGGGAAAGGAGCCTATGGAAAAGTCCTGCAGGTCTCGAACCCGTTTATTCTGACATGTTGTTTTTCACTCTGACATGCGTATCTCTCGTGCAGGTGAGAAAGGTTGATACCGGAAAGATTTATGCGATGAAGATCATCACGAAAGATTCCCTCAAGAGCAAGGAGAGGAACCGAGCCGAGTTTGAGCGAGAGCTTCAGGAGCGCGAGAACCTGCGAGGAATCATAAACGTCGACAAGTCGGTCTACAAACGTTGGCTCGTTCAGTCCACCAAGGCTGAGAGGCGGGTACTTGAAGTTGTGAACCATCCTTTCATCGTCAAGCTTCATTACGCATTCCAGACAGCCGACAGGCTGTGCCTTGTGATGGACTTCATCAACGGGGGGGAGCTGTTCTCCTACATCGCACGGGAGAAAGTCTTCTCGGAGCCTCGCGCTCGCTTCTATGCTGCTGAGATAATCCTGGCGCTGGAGTATCTTCATGAGATGAGCATCATCTACCGAGACCTGAAGCCTGAGAACATCCTGCTCGACGACAAGGGCCACATCCGCCTCACTGACTTCGGACACAGCAAGGATGAGCACAGCAGGAACGATCGTGCATTCAGCATGGTCGGGTCGCCCTACTACATGGCACCAGAGATCCTGCTGAACAAGGGGCACGGGAAGGAGGCAGACTGGTGGTCGTTGGGGATCCTCGTCTACGAGATGCTGGTGGGGCTGCCGCCCTTTTACCAGGAGAACACAAAGAAAGCTTATGAGGCGCTGCTGACCAAACCGCTCGAGTTCCCCGAGAATATCTCGAGGGAGGCGAAGAGCATGATAAGGGGCCTGGTGAGAGGAGGGATGGATGGATGGATAGATGGAGGGAGGGAAGAGGATGAAAGATGGGGGGAGGGGGGTGTGGAGGAGGAGGTGTGTGTGTGTGTGTGTGGGGGGGGGGGGGTTGGAGAGCTGAAGATTGATGTTTGTTTCAGCTGCATGTTGATAGTAGCAAAAGACTTGGCATAGGACAGCTGGACAAAGACATCAATGCGGTAGCAACCTGCTGGTTGACCTATGAAGTGACTGATAGTCTACATCAGGGAGACGAGGCGACCCGGATCGCAATGAAGTGGAAGGACGTCGAATGGCTGAAGCCTGTCAGATGGCAGCGACTGCTGAGCATGGAGGTGAAAACCAAGGAAGATGGAGCGAGGAGAGGAGTGAGGGAGTAGGCAGGAGAGGAGAGAGAGGGAGGGGAGGGAGGGAGGGAGAGGAGGAGGGGATTGTGACAGAAAGAGGAAATTTTGGGAGGGGAGTAGGGAGAGAGAATGCGCGAAGCAGTTGGGTGAAAGCAGTTCGGGTTGGATGAGGAGATTGAGAGGAGGGAGTGGGTCCAAGCTGAGCAGCGTGATGTGATATGGAAAGGGAGATGACCGGAAGACAGGAGGATCCTCCTTTCAAGCCTCGGGTCCGTGATATCTACGACATCAGTAATTTTTCCTCAAACTTTACGGTACCTCCTGCCTTGTGTTCGCACACGAAAAATCAACTTTGTTGCTGCTTTCCCTCTTGTCGTCTACTCTCCTTCCCCTTCTTGCCCTTATTCTTGTTCCCTTTCTTTTTATTCCTGGTGGTGGTGGTGGTGGTGGTGCTCTGATTTGATGAGACCAGTCGGAAGTGATGGACTACCTGCGGAGTGACGAGGATGCCAGTGGAGGTAGAGGAAGAAGTGGGGGGGAGCGAAATGACGAGGGGCAGGGAGCAAACAAGATATTTTTTCCGACTTCCAATACGTTGCTCCTGTTTGGTCCATGCTCACGACAGAAGGAACACCATCGAAGAAGGTGAGGAAGGGAGAGATGGAGTAGCTGAGAGTGAAATAGAGGGAGGGAAGGAGGTTAGGGGGAGGATGGGCAGGCGGGAAACAAGCAAAAGAGGGAGGAGAAGGATGCAATTCGAGTACTGCTTGCGTTGAACTTGAAATGGCAGACGACCCCGACTGTGAAGGAAGGGGAAAAGTTTTTGGAAGGAGATGAGCAGAGGGGAGTGGGGGAGCAGGAGACAAGCAAGCGAGCTTTGGATCATCGCAGGCCGCCGAAACTTGACATCGGGCAGGCGGCTGTACAGTTTCGTGGGAATGTTCACGTTCTTGAGAAGGAAGAAGAGAAGACCTCGGTGAAGGAAGCGCTGCTCCTGCGAACTGACAAGGACGACAACAAAGAAGATGTTCACTTCTGTCAGCTCTCAACTGGCAGAGAGGTTACCCTTTTTCTGCCTCCTGCTCCTGCTCCTGCTCCTGCTCCTGCTCCTGCTCCTCCTTCTGCTTTCCTGCTGCTCCTGCTGCTCGATCTTATTGTAAGCATCGTGCAGGCCATGGCCGAGGTTCCAAGGTCTGTGTCGGAGAAGCTCAGCAAGCTTGAACAGGTGCTTTCAGTCTCTACTAATGCCCCCCTCCTCTCCATCTTCTCCTGTCCATCTCCTCTCCTCCTGTCCATCTCCTCTTTCTGTCCTCCTGGCCATCAACTCGTGCTCAGCTACTCCTCCCCTCTCCGTGTGGCTGCTCACCTCCTCCTCTCCTCCCTCCTCCCCTCCCTCTTCCCTCAACTGACTGTAAGACCAGAGGAACAAGACTCTGCAGCTTCTGCGCAACAAGAATGAGTCCGACCCAGCTTTCAGCAGCAGCGTTGCCCTCGCCTCGCGTCTCTGCTCCAACTGCAAGTGGGACATGAAGCTCTTGTCCAAACTACTCTGCGACGCCATAGCTCAGCGAGACAGTATCGAGGTCACTTCCCTCCCCTCCTTCTGCTTCTTCCTCCCTCCCCTCCCCTCCCTCGCATACCCCCTCGCTTCCCTTCCTCCCATTCTCACTCTTTCATTCTCTTCCCACTCCCCTCCCGCTCTCCTCCTCCATCCTTCGATCCTGCTGCTTTCTCATCCTTGCATTGTAGTTTTGTTGTCTCCTCCCCTCTCTCCCCTCCTCCTCGTTCAGCCCCCCCTCCCCCCCACCTCTTTTCTTCTCATCTGCTCCTACAGGAATGTTTCACGCCCAAGGGAATGCCTTCGGTGATGAAGCAGCAGAAGCGGCTGGAGGAGCTTAACACCGCCTTCAACAAGTTCATGCTCATTATCGCGGGGAAGCGCCACTCCTACTCCTTTCCTCTCCTCCTCTCCGCCAACTCATCCGATGGCGAAAGGAGCCGAGTGTCGTCAGGACATGCCCGTATCCGCACGTCATCCCAGGTCTGAATGAAGTGGCAGGACAGAGTGAAGGAGTGGGAGCGGAAGGAGCAGGGGCAGGAGGAGCCGGAGGAGAGACAAGGCAGGAGGAGGAGGCAGGAAGGGGAGGCTGGAAGGAGTGTACTAGGGGAGAACCGAAGGGGATGAGGAATTTTTGACTTCTGGGTCTTCAGGGCTCACGAGGGTCAGGTGGAGCTCTTGATGCCTTCGACTTCGAGGCCCAAGCGGTGGTGAAGGAGCTCGCAGCTCAACAGGTTCGCTGCTGCTGCTGCTACTGCTGCTGCTGCTGCTGCTGCTGCTGCTGCTGCTCCTTGCTCCCGCTCCTGATTTCGTCTGGCTCCTGCTGTCGATCCTGAGCCATGTTTTTGATGTCCTCCTCTTCGTCACCTTCCTCCCGACTCTGTTTCTCCTTCTTATCTCCTACAGGCGGAGTTGGAAGCAGACGCCGCGCGAAGGAAGTTTGAGCTTCCCGAGGAGACTAAGAAGCGAGAGATGGTGAACCTAATGACTCCTGCTCTCCTCTCTCCTCCCTTTCTCGCTCCTCGCTCCTCGCTCCTCTCTCCTCTCTTCTGCCTTTCTCGCTCCTCTCTCCTCTCTCCTTTCTTCTCCCTTACCTCTCCCCTCTCTCCTTTCCCACTGCTCTCTCCATTCTCCTCCCGCTTCTCTTTCCATCCTCCCCCTCTTCCTCTCCCCTTCCCTTTCTCGCTCCTCTATCCTTCCCCTCTTTTCTGTTCCCCTTTCCTCCTTCCTCCTTCCCCTACTCTCTCCCGTTCCCCATCTCTCCACCTGCCTTTCTCCTTGTCCCGCCTCTTGTTATCCTTCAAGTCTCAGAATCTTAGCATTGAGGAGCAGGTGGATAAGGCAGGGGAAGAGCAGGAGAAGGATCGACTGTTTCCTCTTCCATCTGCTATGGCAGGTCAGGGAGGGAGGAGGAAGAGGAAGGGAAGAGAGGAGGGGAGAAGAGGAGGAGATGTGAGAGGGAGTAGGAGGGAGGAGTGACGAGGAGAGAGTATGGAGGAGAGTTGAGGAGGAGCGAGGATCTGACGGAATATCAGTTGGCAAGAAAGCATCTTCCAAGAGGAATCAAACTCGAGTTCATTCTGAAAACGATCTTGCGCTGTGGCTGAAGGTAAATTTGCTTCTCCTGCGGCTACTGCTGCTGCTGCTGCTGCTGCGGCTACTGCTGCTGCTGCTGCTGCTGCTGCTGGTGGTGCTACTGCTGCTGCTGGTGGTGCTGGTTGTACTGCTGGTGGTGCTGGTGCTGCTGCTATGATTTTTCTGCTTGTACTTGTCGCAGTGTTCGTGAGACGTTTCTGAAGCTCGTGCAGCAACAGGCAGAGCTTGTGAGTTCGGGCGCCATGGGGGACGAGACAGCTAGCAGAGAAGAGCACGAGCATGCGACAATTGGGACATCCAAGGAGGACCGGAAGTTGGAAGGATAGCGAGAGGTAGTAGGGAGCGGGAAGGAGAGGAGGAGGCCCAGGGGTTCAAGGGACGGAGTGTTGATTAAAAATCTCACAGACAACATCATGGCTATCAGGAGAGAAGATGCGATTTTGCCCAGTTTCCCAGAGAGTCTTCGTCTTCCTCTCCTCTTCTTCTCTTGGAAGCACCACATACTTGTAGCTCACCGTCGAGTCCGCGGGGACAGAGAGCGTTATCTGAAGCCACGTCATACGGGTAAGGGGGAGGGAAGAAGGAGGATAGAGGAAGAGTGAGATGAGAACAAGAGCGATAGGAGGAGGAAGAATGAAGAGGAATGTAGGATCTCATACCGACCACACGCGCTTCTTTTCCCTTACGTTGTATGCCGGCTGCATGATGGCCGCCTCCTCCAATGTCAGAAGAATGAAATTTCTCTCCTCATCGTCAACTGAAACCTCGTCTCCTCCTACTCCTCTTGCTTCTGCTGCCCTCCTCCTCCCCCCCCCCCTCCTCCCCTTCCTCCTCCCCCTTACCTGGCAAGGATTCCAGTTCCCCATACCCGGCAGGTCACCAACGATGCCAACCTTCTGCCCCTCCTCCACAGCCAGCCCGTCCACCTCGAAACGAACTTTTCTCTCCACCTTTTGTTCCGCCACATCCTCCTTCGCTCCTTTTTCATTCTCTTGCTGCACCATATGCTGTTGCTGCTGCTGCTGCTGCTGCTGCTGCTGCTTCCTCCTCGATGCACTGACAGATCGCAGGCTCTTTCGCTCTGTTCCTCTCACGTTGTTCCCCCTGCTCCTCTCCTGCTGCGGCAAGGGTGGGGCAAGAACAGTGAGTCCGCGATGAGAGAGAGACAAGATGAAGCGGAAAGGTCTACTGATCAACTCGGTAGAGAAAGAAGCAGCAAAGACAATCGTGTCTGAAAGTTCGACAAGTCAGGAAAACAGCAGAGATGTTGAAACAAACAATGACAACTACAAGAGTGCAACAAATGAGTTCAACAAGTTCAGGTATCATAATAATGCTTGAAGATGGACACATCTCACTCCACCCCTCCCACCCGCTCCACCTAAACATCATTGTCGTCGTCATCGTCATCAAGAAGTAGAACCAGGACAAGAACATGAACAAGTCGAACTCCCTCCTCATGGTTCTCTTCTGCCATCACCTGCTGTCATCTTCAAACAGGCTGCTGGAAGCGGGCGCATGCTCTTGATTGCACTGGCTCCTCCTCGTCCTGCTGCTCCTCCTGCTCGCACAGGAAGAAGCAGGAGCGAGATGAGGCGATCGTGCGAGGACAGGAGGAGGAGGAGGAGCCCGCGAAGCCCCTGCAAGACCTGCTGCTTGCTCAACGAGATGCGAGCCGCTGAATTCATGACACGCACAGAAGAGGTGAAGCAGAAGGGGGCGAAGGAGATTTGAAAGAGAGAGAGTGGAGTGGGGAGGAGAGGGAGGAGAGGAGAGGAGTGGAGTGGAGAGGAGAGGAGAGGAGAGGAGAGGAGAGGAGAACCAGGTAGGGGAGGAGTGGGAGGTAGGGGAGATCAAAAGGGAGAAGCAGGAAGAGAAGGGGGAGGGGGGAGAGGAGAGCAGGTAGCAGGAGCAGCATGGCCCACCGAGACTGCAGGTTGCCAAATCCTGCAAACAACAAGGAGGAAGAGAGAAATTCCAGGACGGACCAGGAAATTCCAAACCACCCTGCTCTGCTTGTCAGACTCCTCCATAGCTCCTTGGGCTCTACCTCAAGGGCAGAAGTGCAGCTCCGAGGACGGGGGCGAGGAGGGAAAGAACCTTCCTAGCGAGAGGGGCGGGGAGGAGGAGGATGGTCGAGAGAAAGAGAGAGGAAGCGCCTGTGTGGGGAGTCAGAGGATGAAGGAGCAGGGAGCATATAGTAGCACCAATCAGCTTGAAAAGAAGTTGCTGCACGAACGAGGACACGGCAAAGGCTGTACAGTCCATCAACCAGGAGAAAGGAAGTGGTGGTGGTGGTGGTGGTGGTGGTGGTGGTGGTGGTGGTGGTGGTGGTGGAGGAGGAGGGCAAGAGCTGGGGAAAGAAGAAGAAAGAGTAGGAGGAGGAGTAGCAGAGAGACCGGATTGAAGAGGAAGAACGAGAGATAAATAAGTGCTGAAGGAAACAATCTTATGAGAACGCTGGAGGAGAATGTTGGTGATGCCAATGGCACAACTGCGAACAAAGGAACATCAGGGTAACGTCGAACATCTGCCATGAGTCAAAAACATGTGAATCATGTATGCTAAGATATGATGCCATCGAGAAATCGATAACCCCTAACACTATGCATATGGTCACAAGATACATGGACTATGTCTGACCTACATCAGCTTACTGATTACAGATGGCACGACAAGATATCAACTACATCTTGTAACAACGTAACAGGCACATGTTCTCATCACAGGTCAACAGCGTGTCAGCAATGTCTCGCCGTTTCCCAACCTCATCAAGTTTGCCTGCTGGCTGAGACCTCTGGGCGAGCTCAACTCTGACTTGGTCCGAGAGCTGACTGGGCGGATGATGGCAGAGCAGCGGGAGGAAAGAGAAAGTCGACAGCCAAAGAGTCCCTCTCCGCTCCACTGTCACTGTAAGTCACGGCCCTGTCCCCCTCCCCCTCACCCCTCCCTTCCTATCTCCTTGCCCCTGCCCCCTGCCTCCTGCCAGTTGGCAGTCCCCCTTTCCCTTCCCCTCTCCCCCCCCCCCGTTGCGTTTCTTCTTTCTCTCCCCGTCATTCTCCTCCTTGACATGCTCTTGCACAACAAGAATCAAGAACGATACCTGCCTCGGAAAGACTACAAGATGAGACTGCATTCCCATCCGATCGGCCACCACAACAGACAATTCTTTCCCTTGATGTTCTCGAACCTGACACGCCACATGTCAATACTCAGGCTATCACCCGAGCAAACTTGCGGAAACTTCTCCACCTCCTTGAAGATCGCTGACATGGTATCTTCTTGATTCACTTCGTTCAACATCTTTGCATTCAGATTGCCAATCGAAAGGATGTTTTGACCTGAGCGGGACTTCAAGGTCAAACAGACAGATCACAACACTTTCTTATGACACGTCTGCTTCTTGTGCTGAAAGAGAGTACAGGATTGATATCACACATGCTACATTAGACAGCATACAGACAACTTCAACAAGTACAAGTCGCATTCGCCACCAAGTCTGCGAAAACTGCCGCCAGCAACCCGCCCTCAACGCCATCAGCGTCCTCACGAGTACCTGGAACTAATCCAGCTTCATCAGCAGGTGAGCCTCTTGACACTTGCTCAACAAAGGCGAGAGGAACCTTTACGTACTGATCAGTAGCACTCTAACAATCCCGTCGCTATTACATAATTCTGGTTCTCAACAAAGAAAATTTCTCTTCCAACCACATCGAAGCTTTCTTGCAGCACGAAGACTCTTTCTTCGAGCTTGTTGATCAGCAAGAGACGATTCGGAATGTCGCACTCCCACTCAACCTGCCAGGAGCGACAATGAGCACCAGTATATCTTGCCAGATAGCAAGAAACTCCTCCACCCCTCACCGCACATTCACCCTTGGGGATGGAAAGGGCACGCGCTTGTTCAGCATAGCCCTTCATGATGACATACTTGTACTCCAGCTCCTCGCCCACGGGCACTTGCATTCTCGCTCCCCACACGCATGGCTCGCCGTGAACTCCTCCCTGCCATACGAGGTCGTTCTAACAAAATCTCAAGTCTTTTCTTACCTTCACTTTGTGCATCTGCAGCCCTTTCTCGGGCAGCCATGATCCGATCATCGCATGACTGCCGCATATCCGGACGCTCTCATCTGATTGTAGCGACGTCGTCTGAACTTCAAACTCGACCATGCATGTTTCCTGGTTCACCAGGCGATCCGGTCGCGAACCACCTCTCAGCCTTCCACGTTCACCACGCACTTGAGGCGTTGTCGTGAAGGAGTCAAAGTTCAAGCAATGAGTGCAAGAGACGAGCACGAGCAAGAGCAAGCCTCGCATGGTGAGGGGAGAAGACAAGCGCGCCATGCCCACCATTGGTTGAGTAATACAAGTAGAGACCTGGTTCACGGCATTGCAAAGATCCGCTTGGAAGGAAATCAGAGGCTTTAAGTCTTTTCAGCTCTTCACTCAGAAGGTATCCAACTTTCCTTGTTCATGCAGCTGCTCTCCCTCTCCTTCCCTCTCCTTCCCTCTCCTTCCCTCTCCTCCTCGCCGTTGCATCGCAAGATCTCTTCATTCCTCTCTCTGTGCCCCGTCCATGGCCCCTCATAACGACTCGTAACGGTTTCTGGCACCGGAGGTCGGAACGTCCCGGGCCCGCTCTGTCTCCGAGTATGAAAGGTGGGGCCAAAAAAAACAAAAAAGAAGTAACCCTACCCCAGCTTACGATTGGAGACCCCACCCCCACCCCCGGGTTTGAGGACACAATACGATTGATGTTGCACAGATTGAGATGGGCAACCCCACCATTTCATAAGATTCACTTCTCTAGTACCGGTGCTTTAGTCCCCCCTACAACGCCACGGGTACATCCTACCAGGAATCGTAGGAAAAGGAGATAGAGCTTGACCGCCCTTCTCACTGACCCTACCCCCGGCTTTTAACCCCTACCCAGTCAGGCAATTTCTTCTGCTTCACCACTGGGGGTCTGTACCCCCTCAAAGAGGGCAAAGCTTCGGCTATGGTTCCGACCAGAGGGGGAGGAAGGTAGAGAGAGGGAGAGAGAGGGCCGAGGCGATTGATGTGAAAGATGAGAGAGAATGGTCGTATTCCTTATCTGCTCCGCTAATTTCTCGGAACGAGTTGTCAACCTGCGATCTTAAATATCCATCTCTGTGAAGTTTGAGCACAAACCACTAAGCAACATTCATAACTTTCTTGATCTTTTGGTGTAAATTTGAAAACGGATTGTTTGGAGATCAAAATATCTCGCGTAGATAAGACAACTGGAACACAAATTTCTTTCATCCATGCCAGTGGAAGATGATGCCGAAGACTTTCGAGTTCGGGTTCGAACTGCACAACGATTTCTGTGCTTGCATATTTTTCTGCTTTATATCTTGAAAATGCTTCTTCCGGTCGACACGTTCTCTTCATATTCATATGACACAGCTCTGCGAATCTCAATAATCTCGCGATACATTTTTGTGTGCATGAGCAATGTAGTCGACATTCAACTCCTGGACATGTCCCCGAACATTAGATTCAATTTCAACATTGACAAGAAGTTTGACAAGAACCATCACAAAGTCACAGCAGCTGCTTTCGAGCATCGCAGCTCAACTTTGCAGCAAAGCTCTAGTGCCCACCGATGCATGATGACCAAGATATATAGATCTGAGCAGTCAATGCCTTCCCTGTCTCCTCTCGTCGACTCGTATGTCATTGAGCTCAGCTCGAAGAAAGCTACAAATTGGTTTCGCACTTGGCACTTTGGTTACAAGAAGGATGCTAATTATTTCGTCGTCAAGATGCGCAAAGGAGAATATGATAGGCTCTGGTTCTCGGTCAACTCAACTGTCAGTTGACATTCGTTAATGTTATACGTTTTCCATAGTTTTACAAAAAGACAAAGTGTCAGCTGTTTTCGTTCACGAAATATATTACTCATTGACATTTGATGAGAGAGGTTGGTCTGAGAAGATCGGAGATCCAGGCAATGCAGCAACGAAGAGAGTCGGAAGGATCATATCTTGTTCTTTGAGTACACAGGGTCATAATTCACTGTGGACGCCAAAGGAAGTTCAAGCCGTTGAACCTGCAGAGAAAGTCAAACTTTGAAGACGGAACAGACCAGATCTCACGTTTCTAAGAGGATGCATCATCGGCCGCAAGATTGAGCTTGTACTGTTCTTCCTGTATAAGTTTCTTCCGGACCCTTTGCTCACTGGTGTGAGATCTGATGACTTCCGAGCCCTTGGTGACAGGCTCACTACACACAAGAAGTCAAAACAGAGGGAAAGCAAACTTACAGCGGTTTCAAGTCCTGGTCGAGCTGTTCCACATTGTTGTAAGATTGCGATCTTTGCAACGAGAAGCTTGCGTCTTGTACACAGTATCCTACCATTAAATTGCTGTTTCCTCCTAGAGTTAGATTGTAATTTCCAATAAGTAAACCTCACACCTTCTGCGGAGATCTTGCCCTGTCGAGAGCCGTCTTACTGGAAGTGAAGCGTAGCTCTTGTTCATCTTGTGAAAGACTTCAGATCAACACAAAATTTAAACATTTTCATACTTTGGAAATCATTCCTTTCGGCAAGGACTTGGATCTTGCAAACGAGTCCATCATTCGTTCATCAAGATTTCTTTCGTCCTGAGTGATGACGTTGTCGATAAACAGCGGCAACTGCAATACCTGCCAAACATTCAACAAGGACAAAGGTACGTAGCGAAATACCTCAAGGGCACTCTTTCTATGGGAGGAATCCAGCATAAGCAAAGACCGAATTACTTCGAACCAACTCTTGATGTTCTAAGCAATAGGTCAGGATGTAACAGAATGGAGGCTGACTCATTTCTCACATAAAACTTTTGGTCTTGTTGAGGATGCTCTGGAATTTCTCTTCCTTCCGTGAGAGCCTTCTTCACCACAGATTCAAGGGAACTTTCATATTTTGGCCAAGAAGAAAAATGGTTTCGACATTGCATTTGAGACAACAACTTTTCATCTCTTGGAGTTCCCACCAGCATGAAGATTTTTGCCAACTGATCCCCATTGTAGTTGAAATGAGTCGGCAGAGGACACTTACAAACATCCTCGACCTTTCCTTTGGTCTGACATGACCCAGCAAGCATCTCTAGGATGATGCATCCCACAGACCACTCGTCGATCCTGCAGTTGTAGGTCTCGGATCCCATGAGAAGTTCAGGGGCTCGGTACCACAAGGTTGTCATCTCGCTCTTCACACGGTTCTCGCCTTCTGAATATTCACGTGCGAGACCAAAATCACAGATCTTGACCACCATGTCCTTGAAAACCAACAAGTTTGCTGGCTTTATGTCTCTATGCATCACTCGGATGGAATGCAAGTACTCGACCCCTTTGAGAACATCTCTGCAGCATCGCGCAATCATTGGGAGCACCAGACTCTTTTTCTGCTTCCTTATGATATCATGAAGGTCTGCAAGAGCTTGCTCAAACACAATCACTGTGCAATCCGACGTTGCACCATAGAACTCAACTACGTTGGAGTGCTGCCCCACACGTTGCATCATCTGAATTTCCTTCTTGAACGCTTCACGTCTATGATTTCCAGGCGAAGCACCTTGAGAGTCCTCTGGATCCAAGTCGGCATCGGGCCACACCACCTTCACCACCACTTCTTTGCTTGATTCCAGGATTTTAGCCTGCCACACACACCCATAGGCACCTTTTCCTATCTTGTCGAAAACCTGAATGTTTCTTCAATACTGAGCATAGCAAGAGTACTGCAGACCTCTAGCTCAGACCTTCTGAATTTCTTGAAATTTTGAAGGTTTGAAATTCTGAATTTACCAGATCCTATAAGAAAACTGTTTCAGACTTCCATTCCTTCCGTATCGCGGAAAATCACAAGGCACATTTCATACCATTCGAATGACTTGAACGAATATTTTCTGGAGCTCTGTTTGACTTCGATGGCCACGCAGTTATCAAGGAGGACTGAGCATGTGGCAGCATTGCCCCATCGACGCACCGCATGCCAATTAATTGCCGTTGATTTCACGCCACCTGCATCAGTTTTCATCAGAACCAGCAAATGTTTTTACATATCGTTTTCTTCATCATCCAGAATTTCTTGTTATTTTTTCTCGACTGTTCAGGATAAACTATTCACAAGATTTGTGTTTGCAAAGGTCTTGCGCACGAGACAACCAAGCTGTGAACTCTACAAGGCTCCTATCGTCAAAGTTTCGGCTGAATCTACATCTAGGCATGGTTAAAGGCACTCCACCAGTTCCCACTCCCATCAACATTCAAACTCGTGATATCCGACATTTTTCTTTGTCTCGTTTCCCTCCTCAACATGGCTGTCGAATGTTCATCACGGACAAAGCCGATTTCTGCCCTGACATGGAACTGGAAACCAATTGCCCGAAGGGTGGTGGAGGGGGTACTTGGCAGTACCAGATTGCAGATTAATTTGGGGTGGGTAGGGATTAAGAGGACTGGGTTGGTGACTTTCTGGTTGTGTTGGTTGGGTACTCAGGGAGGGGAGAGGGGTGGGGTGATACGTGTCGCTCCAGGTGGTTCAGGTTGAGCATACAATGGACCGGAGGTTCCGAACGTTCTCAGTAGTAACTGATAGCAGTAGGTGGGGTGACAATATGGCTGACGACCTCCCCTTTCCCGTTTCCAACCCTACCCACTCATACATCTATCATGGTACCCTACCCCTTGTGTTCTAGCACCTCCAGATAAGGTTGCAATCGGTTGTCCCGCCTAACAGCCTGAGAGATAAGTACTTCATGAACTTCTAGTACCCCCTCTCTGTACTGAAAGTACCCAGCCTTTTAATCCTCGCACATCTACTTTGAGGACCCCCACCCTGATTTCTCTCTTTTGCCCATTTCGTACTTTATAACAATTTTCACTAAAGAATGACGATGTTTTTTTTTCTCGTAGTGTAAAGAATGGCAGGTCTGCTCTCCTGATTGTCCTCGTACTGATTTTTAACTTGACTGAAGTTGAGTAAAGAGACGGAGACCGGATGCTAGTTTTACTGTGACTTAACTTTGAGTAAAGAGGCTGGTACTAGCCTCCGGTCCCGGCGGCGACCGCAGTACCGGCGTACGGTACTAGCTTCAGCCGCGTCAAGTTTGATTGAAGCCGGCCCGGCCCGGCGGGCCGGCCGCGGGCCTCAGGCCGCCGGACGGACCGCTGAGTCCGGCCCGCCGGTACGGTCCGTCAGTGGCCGCGCACTGAATGTGCGGCGCGGCCGGGCCGCTCGGCCGTGACTCGGCCTGAACTGAGCCTGCTTAGGGCCTTGCCAAACTTGAAACAAGTGACTCAGTGTCAGCCCCCCGTCAGGCCAGGCTCGCCTCCGCTCGACTTCAGTGCCACGGTGAGTTCCTGTCACAGTGTACGGTCCGGGGCATGATGGGCGTAGCCGCGGCGGGCCGGGCCCGGGGCCGCTGCGCAAGCCTGCGGCAAGACACCCGCTGAGCAGTCACTCAGTGGCGGCCGGGGGGCGTATGGTAAAGTGCTCTTTACTCAAAATTAAGTGCTGTCTTTCAGTTAAACTTGAGGGGACAGCAGTTGGCTGAGGATTAGGGCAAGTTTGGTTCTCGCTGTCGGTTTTCTCTTCTCGCCGTTTGGCCTGTGCGACAGTGTCAGGGTCAAGCCTCCTCGACTATCCTGATTGTCCTCGTACTGATTTTTAAGGCTTAACTTTGAGTAAAGGGTGAGATCAGTGCTGCGGCGGCTGCATGACTTCACTTGCGCCCGGCCACCGGCCGCCGCGCTCAGTCAAGCGGCCCGGTCCGACCGTCAGACCGCACGCGAGATTTGCTGACTCACGGACACGGACCGTGACGTGAGATGGAGGTCACAAATAAAACTAGTTTTACATGTCTTGCTGGGCTTGTGTGCCTATAACCTTTTTACTTAAAAAAAATTCGGTGAGGGTCGTTTGGGCATGGTTGTAAATTTACAGAGGTAGGGGTCATGAAGCACAGGAGGTGGGGGTTCAATTCTTTACTCAAAGTTAAGGTAAAAATCTGTACGAGGACAATGAGGAGAATAGGTAGTAAAGCTGGCACAGGAGGCGGGGGATGTAGTAGTAAAGCTTGCACTCCCTTTTCTGGTTCGCTAGGACCCCTACCCCTCCATTCAATGGACCCACCCATGGTCCTTTCGGAAACTGCATGGTCATTGAGTCATTGACTAAAATCAAAAGTCCCCTAGGCCCCCACCACACCTGTTATTATTAAAATATTTACACGGAAGCCGAAGGTCATTTCAATCTCTGAGGACCCCCACCCCCTCGTTCTAGGCAACCACCCGTGGCATTCTCGGACATCTTGGCCGTCGTTGACTTGAGACATGTCATCCGAGAGTGCGGGGAAGGAGGCGGCGAGAAGACGAGGCTAGAGCAGGAGGTCGAGCATGTGGATGCTATTGGTGGGTGTGATGCAAGAATGTTGATCTGAGGAAAGTGGATGGGAGTAGAGTGCACAAGCGCTCAACTGATCATGTATCACTCCGCTGTCTTGTTGTAATCCCACGATCAAAACTCTTCCGCATTGTCAACAACATGAAATGACTTGAATGTGAGAAGAGGTACGCGACATTCTTTGTTGGAAAGAAATTCAAAAATAATGCTGTAATTAAGGCAAGAATATGGTCATAGCAAGCAGAATCACACATGGTTTCTACTAGTTTCGCAAACTTGTTGTACAATTGCACGCGATTGTTAGGACGACGCGTAGACTGAAACAATTGATTCATAACGTCCCTGTTTTTTGTAATACTAAAGCTGGTTTGATCCTTTGTAGGCTGACTGAAGTTGAAATGTATAATGAAACTATAACGGCTCAAAACTCCAATGACGTCAATTCTCCTACTCGCGAACGTAAGCCTAAGGAATGACTTTCCCATCTTTTGATAATCATTGTTCCAGCTTGCAAACATAATCCTTGGAGCGATGATCAACTTCACGAAGGGTCTAGAAACGAAATTTTGGAGGAATTAACAACACAGACAAAAAATCTTGGGTTGAAAGAAAAGTACTGCCCATTCAGCACGAATCGAAGCCCAATCAAAGTAAAAGTGTTTCGTCGTCATGAACTGGAGGTGACTTTTTGTAAGAGTGCTTTTATGAATAACGAGGCTAATATTGTCACAACAGGTTGCTAACAAGATAGGAAATGGGGCGTATGGTTGTGTGTGGCAAGCCACGATTATCGAGTCAATGGAGGATGTTGTTGTGAAAGTTGTCTGGCCAGACTTTGACTTGGACCCGGATGATGTAAAGGAGCATGGAGAGGCAACGGAGGAGCGGCTGGAAGCCTTTAGGCGAGAAATTGAAATGATGGAGCTTGCTGGATCTCATCCCAAGATTGTTAAGTTGCTGGGAGCGACCCATGATTCAAGAGTGATTGTTCTAGAAGAAGCTCTGTCGGATTTACATACCGTGATTAAGAATCAGGCCGGGAGTCTTCATCTTTCCATGATTTCGAAATGGACCAGAGATGTTTTAGAAGCTCTTCATTACCTGCACAGTGTGAATATTGTTCATCGAGATGTCAAGCCGGGAAATATCTTAATATTTGATAGTATGGTCGCAAAGTTGGGGGATTTTGGCATGTCCAGGGAGTTTGTTAGTCACGAAAAGATGGCAGTCGGTAGAGAAATATGTACATTGTGGTACAGAGCACCAGAATTGCTGATGGGGGCAGCGAAGTATTGTCCCAAGATTGACGTTTGGGCTGTCGGCTGTCTGGTAATGGAGATGTTAATTGGAAACAGCATCTTCAAAGGCAATGTTGATGACATCTGTCAATGTCGTCGTGTTACCCATCTTAATTATAATGGCGATCAGCTGCACCAAATCTTTCAAGTGTGTGGAACTCCAATTGATTCTCATTTTTTGAGGCGAATGGACTGTTTCTGTCACTTCAAAGATTGGCCAATCTACGAATCTTGCTTGGAGAGGATCTTATCCAAATACTGTACAGTCGAACGAATATGTAACAACGATCCAGATACAGACAAAGAAGTATCCACTTCGGTCGTGTGTAACAACTGGCTAATCATCCTGCAAGGACTTCTCGACATCAATCCTGACACACGGTTTTCAGTTGCAGAAGCTCTTGAAATTCAATGGTTGCAGAAAGAACACAACTGCTCGTACAAGCTTGAATCTTTGTTATCTCGACAAGAGCCGGCAGTCAAAAGGGTGTTAGAGGACACGCCAGTTGCAAAGGGAAACAATGATGGGGTAAGGAGCGCGTTGCCGTCTTCTTGTGCCTGATATTCTCCCAGAACTATGGCCAAGGGACTGCACCTCCTCGTCGACGTGGTTCCGTGTTCGAACTTCGACAATTCAAAACACAACCAAACTTGCACCACTCCTCTCAGGTACCTTTCTCCTCCTGATTTGGTGATAACGAGCTGAAGTTCATACAGTCCAACCGTAAAAGCACATATTTGGGGAAGAGGGACAACAAGAAACCCAGCACATCAACTCCCTCTGCCATGATGATTCCACGTATGCGCCGATCAATTAGCGATACGTTTAATCCTTCAGATTTTCCGCCCTGATGAAGATGAAGCATAGAATGTAATCTACCTTAGTTCAGCAGGAGTAGAATGCATTCTACAAGATTTTCTCATTCAGCTCAACAACAGTAAAAACTTCCGCAAGGGGTTGCCGCTGAATTCAAAGCCATACATGACGATACCAACAAGAATAGAAGTTCAATTTTTGCGCTCCTTCTTGAACTCATACATTCTGCATACATTTCTCGATTTTGTTTCTACTCTGTTTTCTGTCTCGTTTTTGCTGAGCCTGAAACGCATCACTCTCTTGCTTGGTCTCGCTATCATCCAACCTACAGATGTTGCAATCCTCCATTTGGCTAAGATTCTTTGCATCGGCTAGGCAACTGCAATCACCAAATCCATTTCCATTTCTCTTGATTTTCCTCCTCTCCCCACTCCATAGTTCTGCTCCGCCCAGAAGCTTCCACTCTTCTGGTCATCCATCCTGTTCAGTAGCCTTGCACGAGTATTGATACACGGGAAAGTAAGTGCCATTGACTGTAATGATACAGAGAGTAGTCCTGAATGACTTCTCCCTTTCTTGCTGTTGCTGTCTGCCGGAATCTCAGGTAGCTCATCACATCTGAGGTTGCTTCTATCCCATGAGATCACTTCTTCACCTTCAATCATACGTCACCCCAATTGTTATGGAGTATGGCGAAACATGAGAAAGCTTCGCAGTAGAGAGAGAAAGGACGAGAGAAAGAGAGATGAGGGAGGAGGATATTTCGAGGGAGAGTGGAAGGAATCAGTACGTGAGGCAGGTAGGATAGAAAGAGTGAGAGAAGGAGGTAGGCAAGGAGAGAGGGAGAGGGAGAGGGAAATGGGGAGGTGGTTGGTCTATAAGGGTGCCTGGCTGGCTGGCTGGCTGGCTGGCTGGCTGGCTGGCTGGCTGGCTGGCTGGCTGGCTGCCTTCCTGCCTGCCTGCCTTCCTGCCTGCCTGCCCTGATTGCCAGCGAGTTCACCCGGCCGGAGCTGCACTGCACTGCCTGCCTGCCTGCCTGCCTGCCTGCCTGCCTGCCTGCCTGCCTGCCTGCCTGCCTGCCTGCCTGCCTGCCTGCCTGCCTGCCTGCCTGCCTGCCTGCCTGCCTGCCTGCCTGCCTGCCTGCCTGCCTGCCTGCCTGCCTGCCTGCCTGCACTGCCTCCCTCCCTCCCTCCCTCCCTCCCTCCCTCCCTCATGCGAGCAGGCAAGTCGAGACATGACAAGCAAAGCAGGGAATATCTCGCCCAAATTACACTACTCGGCACGTGACGTGGTGGCGCAATGGTAGCGCGTTCGACTCCAGATCGAAAGGTTGGGGGTTCGATTCCCTCTCGCGTCAATTGTTTTTATCTCCGATAGACTCCATCTTCTTGTGAATGCAGAACCTGCCTGCAATTTCAACTTACATGACGAGAGCATGCCTGCATTTTCAACTTACATGACGAGTAACATTCAAACAAACTTCTCATACAACACGGTCAATACATTCAACTGATACACACCATTTTTTCAACTTTCATTTGTCACAGTAGCTGCCATAATCTCTTTGCTGTTTGACTAAATCGCTTTGTCAATAGATCTGTACGGTAACAGTGATGGTTCAAGCATCAAACGGCAGGTGTTGATCCGATGATTTCGGCCCGCCAGAATGATACTCTCTTGCGACATTCACTGTCAACTCGAGAAATAATCTAGTGCTTGATTTCGATGGGAAAACAGTCATAGTGACCATAATGGTGAGAGTGTTTGTTGAAGACAAACATTTTTTTTTAAAACCTAAAATACCTCTCCACGTGTCAGGCCCAGAGAATCACATGTATATCCTATTTATTACAACAATTGCAAATTATGAACATGGAACAGGGTATAGTACATTGTTTGCTTCAAGGTCGGACGATGCCTTGTGCAGCGCAAGAAAGCTTCCGTTAATGTTTCGAGCACTGTCGGAGAAAAAATCTTCGAGCGCGAGGACTGTCGTTGCAGCGCTATCCATTGAGTTTGAAATGCTAAGTTCCTCTGGACTTCGTTCCAATGTATCAGCGCCTAGACCACACGATATATACCAAGATTCGGTGGTTTCGCGAGTCTCTGCCGAGCATTCAGAGTTATCGTGTTTCCTGGGAATGTTGCAAATTGAATCTGAGAACCTTACACTTGTTCCTCTTCTGGCACAGTTTCTACTGCATCTACGATCTTTCTTCGACCAGAGCTTTGGCTTTGTCACTCTGAGCTTCTCGAAGAGCGCGTAGTTTTGTAGAGCATTCACAGCACTGTGATGAGAAATGCAATCCACATCATTCCAGTCCAAGTGTGTATGCTCTGGACAAGTGTCCATCAAAAGCTTGATGTCAGATTGAATCTCTGCAATGACGTAGTTCCGACGAGAAGTCGAGTTCCCCATTGTACCGTACAACGTTGCTTGACAAGAAAGATCAATGCCTTCAATGTATAATCGAGATAGCCAACAGTGTGTAGACGAGAAGGAAGGAGGCTATGTCAAGGAATTGTAGAAGAGCAGCTGAAGTGAACGTGCAGGTGAGATAGGGAAGGATGGTTCGAGAAGGTTGAGGTCAGAGGAGCTGATGTAGAGGAGTGTGAAGAAGCCGGGGGCTCAAGGGAGACGCACTTGAGGCCTTTCGGCTCAAGTCAGGTACAGGGTCCATGACACCTGACCCCTACCCTACTCCTTCCACACTACTACCCCACTCGCCTTGTTGATGGAGGATTATTCAGTTTTTCTTCTCCTTTTGGAAGGCTTTATACCAAGCCTTTTTCTTAATAAAGAGTATATGTAAATTACAGGATCATACATGGAACCTGTCTCCAACACTCAGAGTATCAAGGTGGCCACCAATTTTCCGAACCCCTACCTCATTCTAAGATCACCCACCACCCTTTCAGGAACAATCATTCCACTTATGGTTTCTTTGGGCTACAAGCTTGAGTCCTTTTTTCTCGAGCTAATTTATTCCTGTTTTGAAAACGTATGATATGTAAAATTGAACATTTACCATAGGTGTTCAAACTTTGAGCGAAATGAATAGCTGAATTTTTGCATCGATTCACAGAGTTCTCACCCCTGCACTTCTTGGAGAAGGTGCCTAAAACCATAAAAGGCGCGGCTAACGCGAGACGCGCCCTTCTATGGATGTTCGTGGTCAAATTCAAGGTCAAAGGTCAAATGGTCAAATGGTGAAATGGTCAAATGGTCAAGTTTTAAAACCGCACGGTCCATCAGCGGCAGAGTCACGTTTCTACTATAGGTAGCGGGCCGGGACGCCGGGCCCCGGCGGCGGCGCGGCGGCGGCGGGCCGGGGGCCGGGCCGGGGCACGGCCCTCAGTGGCCATCTTCAGTGCCGCTTGGACTCTGGCCGCTACTCATGGCCGGAACTTTCAGTTTGGAACCTCACGGCGTCACGGTACGGTACTAACTTAGTAATTTCGCCTTTTACTCCGGCCCGAATGGCGCGGCCAGAAAGTCTGGTTTGACTCACTGTTATGCAGTGCTATGGTAGTACCCGAGGCTGTCTGTCCGAAGCTATCATCGAGTCGACTCTCTCACGGTATGGTGACCGGGTAGTACAACGACACTGTCATTTCTGAGTCTGACGGTGCGTGTCACAGAGTCACGGTGGCTAGTACCGGTAGTACCGTACGGTGCGTGCCGCGTGCGTGCCACTCACTGCCGTCACCGTGCGGCCGGGCGTGTGCGTGCCGCCGGCGCTGCGTACATTCCGAAGTTCTCACCGGGTCACCGGCCCCGTTTGTCACGGACCGTCGGTGGGCACCCGGTACGGTCTACATCTATGTCCGCAGTATGTCCATGTCTATGTCTATGTCACGGTCCATGCAGTCCGTACGGTACGGCCCGGTACCTAAAACCGGTACGGTCTATGTGTAGACCAGTGTGCCAGATATCAGTGAAATCTGAAAACTTTTGAAAGTTTGTCGTTTGTATCATCAGTATTGATTGACTCCAGTCCCCCCCCCCCCCCCCCCCCCCTTTCCCCGGATGATTTGCAACGGTGTGAATTCTTTCCACCTTTCATGTGGTGAGACAATGCCATCATTTTGATACAAGTGTACGTTTGGCGTCTTTGTCCTATCGCCTTGACTTTCCAAGTTCATGTCTCCTGAACTACAAAGATTTCGTAATGGACCTTTGGGGGGAGTCAAATATATTGAAGCTTTGGTAGTCGTCCTAGTCAGCCTTAGCCACAAGCAGGATCTGTGGTCGCATGGAAGAAAGATAGCTGGCACCTCTTGCAGCGAGAGGATGAGGAGGAAGGAGCCTGGACCATGGCGCTGGTCATGGCTGGTCGCTGCGTAGCCTGATATGTTTTAGGTTGAGGGAGGGGTTCTTGACTATGTGAGGGAGGGGTAGTAGGTGGAATAGAAGGGGTCACCCTCACCTTGCCTGTCCGGCGATGTGCAATCAGGAGTTGTAGCATCTGCTTGCGGTGTTTCACGTGACATATGCTTCGGCACACAGGAATTGATACCATGAATGTACAAGATGAACTGCAATGCAAGATGGGTGAGAATGAAGACCACAGTGATAAACATGAAACCAACGAAGCGAACAATCAAGAGAAAAATCTCATGAAGGAAATGAAAAGGGGACGAAACAAAATCAGAATGTGTGAACATCACAGGCAAAGATCCAGATGTAGAGCTTGCAAGGGTTCGAGCATATGTGCACATGACCGTATCAAATCACAGTGCAAAGATTGCAAAGGATCAAGCATATGTGAACACAACAAAATCAGGGCGCAATGCAAGGAATGCAAAGGCTCCGGGATATGTTTACACAATCGACAGCGAACTCGTTGCAAAGAGTGCAAGGGATCTGCTATCTGTGACCATAACAGAGTGAAGTCTCAGTGCAAAGACTGCAAAGGATCAGCCATATGCCAACACATGCGACGTAGGTCACACTGTAAGGATTGCAGAGGATCTAGTATATGTCTCCACAACAAGCAAAAATCCCAATGCAGAGATTGCGGTGGTGCAGGAATATGTGAACATAACAAGGTGAGATATCGTTGCAAAGATTGCGGTGGATCGGGCATTTGCAAACATAAAAAAAGGAAGTATCGTTGCAAAGATTGTAAAGATGAAAATCAAGCAGAGGCACAAGATAGTCAAACAACTCAATCTTTGATGCTACATTGAGGACAAGCCAAGAATGACTACTCTCAAGATGTGAAGGACAGGGCGGAGGGAATGCGATTTCAACGATTTGACTCTCAAGAAAGGAGGGCTTACCTATTGGAATAAAAAATTCAATGTCAGTCTGCTGATCCCGACCAGCAAGTTCTCAAAGCTGTGGCAAACAACATTTCGAGTGAAAGCAGGACAGTCTCCTTGCCTTTGATTGAACACGCGAACACCAGAAGATTCAGAGGAATCGCACGGCTTCTCAAAGATTTTGATCAGTGACCTAAGAATGTTGTCTTCCTGGTTTGAATGTTGTATGAAATTTTAACTACTTCTATCGCGAAGTAAAGAGGCTGCCGTTCAAAACGCTGAATGGAGCAGGGTGCGTAGAAACTGTATGAAAGCATTCTGCTGAACAAACAAGGGGCATTCGTGTGCATCACATCTCAGTACTTATTCAATTGTGCATTTTCATTCATTGCTTAAATTTCTACTTCGCCATCTCTGTGCCTCTCCCCAAAGCATTTTCCATCACTTCATTGCTTTCACCTTATCATAGACTGATATGTTTTTTTGCATACTCTCCTGCTCTGGAGTTATAGATGTTCTTTGGTGGACACAAATTTTACGCATTTATGATTCGGTCTGCAGTCATGAAAGGAAGCGGTCGCGTGTTGGTCAAGACATGGCAAATTATTTTCTTTAGAGCGCAGGAAGGTGATAACAAGCCTTGAAATCCTATCTAGCATTCTAATAAGCACTACTGCTGCTGCTGCTGCTGCTGCTGCTGCTGCTGCTGCTGCTGCTGCTGCTGCTGCTGCTGCTGCTGCTGCTGCTGCTGCTGCTGCTGCTGCTGCTGCTGCTGCTGCTGCTGCTGCTGCTACTGCTGATGCTACTACTACTGCGCAGGCAGGTTTATTTTAATTTTGTTGCAAACACAACAAGCGCTGTAAATATCATTCGTTTCTCCTCTTGACCTCTGAATATCGTTTCGTTTTCTTCTCTCAATCTTGAAAACTTCGTGCTTCCATCCCTCCGATTCTCTCTAAAACATAACAAATTGCTTTTAACATCAAAGCAAAGATGAGATGTTGGCAGAAGATTTCCTAAACATGGATCATTGAATTCACGAAGGATCTCAGAGTCCAGCAAACAAAAGACAACAACGGATACACTATTCATGCAGCCTGTTACTAATGTTCTAATTACCGCCCCCCCCACCGCACTCATTCTATCAACGAGACAGCTCTATCAAGACCTTGTGCAGACACAGTTCACTGATTCAAAGCAGATGAGAAAGGGAGAGATCACTCTCTTGAACGACATTGAGTTCTGCCCTCGTGACCTTGACTTTTCATATTCGGCGCCTCTTTTATTTTTGTTTCCGAAACTTTTCTGAATCTTGAATTCCATCATATCATCACTGTCTGCCGCAAAGCTTCTCTTTTTTTTTGCTTGTTGCTTTCGCCATGTCCACAACAAAGTCTCTAAAAAAAATCAACCGCTTGTCATTCTTGATGTCTCTGGTCCAATTTTTGAAATGCGACAGGCACGCCTGCATGTGCGTCAACGTCCAACGAAGGCGACGAGAAGCGTCTGACGACTCTGAGATCCTCAGCTGGACCCTCAGCTGGACCCTCAGCTGGACCCTTAGCTAGAACCTCAGTTGGACCCTCAGCTGGAGACAGACATGACGATGTCTGTAAGAAGACTGAAGCAGGAGATCGAGGAGCTTCACGCAACTCTGAGAGAAAAAGACAGGTCATGCGCTGCTGCTTGCTTCCTCATCTTGTCTCTTGCACTCACTGGATGATACATCAGGCATATCCGAATGCTCGAAAAGAAGATATCCAAGGCCGAGAAGCGTCAAGAGCATCATCAGGGGATTGATGCTGCTGTTCAAGTTCCTCAAGTCAATGAAATAGGTCTTGACGAGACGTTTCATGGGGCGTCTGCTAACAGTGGAAGCCTTCTCCTGACACCCAAGCCTCAAGTTGCCACACGTCTAGTCGACAGGTAGAGTCAACGTTGAACTTGTTGCACTACGTGTAGAACCAGCCAGGATTGGGAACAGTAGTATGAGCAGGAATGAGAAGAAGTGTTGACATTCCTCCGGCCCGATTGATCTCTTTATGCAGATTTCCCGCGACAGACGGAGCTTCTCATCGAGATTGGGAAGCAGAGATTGAGACACTATCTAGAGCCCTTTCAATCACTAAGAAGAAACTTTCTGATGCAGAGGAGAGAGCTCAAAAGGCAGAGACAACAATCTTACAATCGGAACGCAACCTGTCAAAAGCGAGAACAGCTGCAGCAGAAGTAGTTGTTCTTCAGTCATCTCTCTTTGAGAGAGAGAGGCAGCTAGCAAAGAGCAGAGATGAGATTGATGAACTCCATCATGAACTCCAAAAGCTAAGAATGTATATGAAGGTGTTGTTTACTCCAACGTGACATGAAGACTTCTGATCTGTATCGCAGCAAAGGGACGAACAGAATCTGCAGGAATGCGAACGGCAAGCACAAAGGTGAACAGTCTCCAAGCCAGGAGCTTCTCATTCAGAGTCCCAGGCATGCTGAGCAGCTTGATGCTCTGTCAGAGCTTGTCGCGTCTACCGACGCCGATGTTCAGATGATCAGAAAGCAGAATCACGAGTTAACATCAGAGGTTTCTCCTACATGTTTGCCTCGCGGTATTGATATTTGGAAATGATTTCAGCTTAATCACATCAAAAGCACACTCCATAACCGTACTTGTTTGTTAGGAGAACTTGAGAATGAGGTGATTGCAACATGTAGGTTCAAATTTCGTAAAATGCCTCGCTGCACAGATACTATCAAAGTCCTTTCAAATGATGTCAGACTCTCACAGTGAGCAGCATGTAAGCGTCAACTTTGAATTTTATATTCTCTGACAGCTGCAGAATCATCAAGTTCAAATTATCTTGCTTGAGAATGAACAGCTCCACAGGGTCGATAGTCTTGTGTGTTGGAAAAGCAAGTTCTTGACACAATTCTGTTAGAAAAATGAAAAACTCAATCAAGCAATGAGTGCCATGATGAATGAGCATGAGAAAATGAAATTTGAGGTGAAAAATCAGATTTTGCATCGTGTAAACTGAATTTCTTCAAGATGAATTTGATCCAAGAAACCTCTGAAGAGAATAAAACTGAACACACTTATTCTATGAAGATATTTGAAAATGTTTTGCGGTACTGATAGGCATAGCTTAACCCGTGCATAATGTTTGCTATGAAAGACGCGAACAAGCCAGAATCCGCAGAGAACAGAGGAAGTATAGCAGGAAAGATGCTATCTCAAGATTGTGGTTGGGAATTCCGGTAGGTTTGAGGTTGCTGTGAATGTCAACGACCTAAGAATCGCTTGAAGGTTGTCAAATATTCCTTGAGTGGCAAAGGATGCAAACATAACATCTTCAGACTGACTAACGAAGGATCAGACCCTTATGGAAACTTGCAGCTCGGGATTGAATGGAGCTCAGGCTCGCTACTTGCAGCTTCTCCACAAGTCTGAAGGAGTTTGTCATTGCTGTACTCACTGATTTGTTTTCAGATATCTTTGAAACGAGGGTCAAGCCCAAAGCTTCTGTTGGACTCTGTGCAGCAAATCACTTATGGCGCAAAATCTAGAAATTTTCGAAAGTATCAGAAAGCTCGTGCAGCATTCTCTCGAGGTACAGAACTAGATATTTCAAGATGTTTTTCCCTCGTCACAACAAAACGAACGTATGATTTTTCGGTCGACAACGACAAAGATTTCATCGACATTTTCTTTGGTTTGCAGGCAGAAGCAATTCTTTTTCATTGTGTTCTTTGTTCTCACTATGCTCTGCAGGGCATTTGCCGTCTTCGTCCAGGAAGACATGAGGTCGAGGGTTCGCGTACAGGACGCATTTCCTTGGGTTTTTATTTGTGGCAACGCAATGGGCTTCGAGCGAGAAGAAAGGCAAAGCGAGAGGGAATCGACCTCAAAGTTCTTCTTTTACGAGCAGTTGCAACTGCAAAATCTCAAACCACTCCAGTAAGTAGAAAGATCATGAAACAAGTTGTTGAGAGGAGTTGCAGGAATCAGCAATCTTACAAAGCAACATTCATCAGTAACTATCTTCTATGAACTTTCACCTTGTAATATTTTCTACAGATTGGTTGAAGACTGGACCAATCGCTCTCTGCCGCATCACGAAGAACATCATCGGCATTCATCTAATGTGCATGTAGATATCTTTCAAACACCAGAGCAAAGTTACATCAATCCTGTCCCAGCATATCCAGCAAACAGCTTCAATGATGGTACGTATGGCCAGATTGCGAATGGTTAAAGCATGTTGGTATTCCAGATCAAACTTGTGAAATTAAATTCTTTTAACAACTTGTATGACATCTTCATCTTCCAGCATATGCCCACTGTGCTCTGGTCATTTTCCCAGCTTTCAAATTCAAGGAAATTACCTTCCTACTATCTGGGGAAAATGCTTAGCACTTGAACCCCATACAAGAGCGTGTTTGAATTCATCCCTGCAATCCGTCAAAGACTTTCAAAAGGGATTGATTGTACTTACATGAGGCGTTTGTGGATTCGTCGACAAAAGTCTTTCACTGAAGTCCTAAGAATGACATCAGCTCATTCAAGGGAAACACGAAACCGAGTCAATCAAAGTGACCCACTTATAGTTTCTTAGAATCACTGGCTGTGTGAAGTCCGGCATGTCTCCCTTAGGTTTCGTATAAATGCGAGTCAAGTGCATGTATTCCCATATCTTGTTTTTTAAGACATCTGAATGTGAGATAAGTATGAGACGATTGAGATGTCAAGCCTCTATCCACTCCATCATAGATTTATCCTTACCGATATTCCATCCGAGAGCTCCAGAAATAGGGAGAAAATGTGGAAGCTTCGAAGCAAATATCTCCATTTCCTGACGACTGACCTGGACGATGATTTCAGAGTGATCGAAGTGCATAAGACAACGAAAACTTTGTCGATCTTGTTGAAAACATGAAGGCAAGGGATATAAACACGGTTTCCCTCGATAACATCTATAAGCTGATCTTCTGTACAATCTTGACGAAGTATGATCTATCACACTGTCAAAACAGGATAGTAAAACAGTGTGCTATTGTCTCGCCTCAGCATGAGTAATCTTATACTCGCGAAGAATGGTCGCAACAAGATCTTTGTTCAGCACAGATTGCTTCACAAGAGCCTTTGCAGTCATCACTTGTACTACATCGCACTGATAACTTTCTGCCAAACCTGAAAGTTCAATCCTCCGCGATCTCTTTTCTTGAAATAAATTTCTGGTGGTTTCTGATTCAACCTGATCCCGAACCCATGGAGCTCTTTCTCGATTAAGATCTTGTGCGTTACAGGCTTCGTGGCGTCCAACACAAGCAGGATCAAATCGCATGTTCGAGCACACCCAATGACCTGACGTCCTCGTCCTTTTCCATCCTTCGCGCCTTCAATAATTCCTGGATGTATTTTCATTCAGTTCATATCAAGCTCGCAAGGAGCAAGCAATGGACCTGGCAGATCAAGGATTTGGATGCGAGCACCATCATGCGTCATCACTCCGGGAACGCATGTGAGGGTGGTAAACTCATAGTCCGCAGCTTCAGAGTAAACACCCGTCAGAGCTGTGAGTAAAGTTGATTTCCCCACTGATGGGAACCCGATGAATCCCACTCGAGCGTCTCCTGTAGCACGAACTTCGAAGCCTTCTCCTGGCCCTCCTGATTTCTTATTTTGCTGCTCTATAACTTGACGCTTCAAAGCTGCTAATCTTGCCTTCAATGCACACAGGTGACTCATAGTTGCTGTGGAGCAATTCAGTCAACTGAACAAAGGAGGATAGGCTGTCACCTTTGTTCTTCTGTGTCCTTGCCATCTCGACCTCGATGTCCATGATTCGTCGTTGGGCATCAGACATGCCTTCCTTCTTCGCAGCAGAATCTTTCTTATTCACGTCTTCTTTTGGCCCCCCTCCCCACAGCCTCAAGCATGCAGTGCAATGTGACGGCTTGAAATGAGCAGGCTCTGTAGAGCTGCCAACAAGTATGTGTAGCCATGCAAGGAATGAAAGCATTACTGAGAATCGCATATCAATAAACCCTTATCACTTATGAGCGAGCGATAGTTGCATGGAAAAGATCAAAGTTCCCATCTACTTCGGCATACATATGCGGCAGTATGCCACAGGAATATCACGACATACCCATCACGAACCCCAAACAGGAAACCTAAACCAGGTTTAGTTTGAGGGTTTAGGCCCGTTTCCCAGATTCCAGATTCCAGATTTTTTCATACAAATATAAGTCAATTTCTTTTTTTCTCCTCCAAATGTTTTGGAGAACTCAACTATAAGTCATTTTAATTTGAGAATGAAACGATGCGGTTGACTTTCCCAGATTTTGCTTTTCGAATGGGCAGGCACTATATGGAAATATACTATTAGCTCAATCGAGAAAAATTGTTAGAAGGTAGGCAGGGTACGCTGGGAGCATCAAATATGAACAGGCAGTGGACCCCACCCCGTGTCAGTATGTATTGAAAGCACCGGTGAATATTTCGGGGTAAATTTCAAATCATTTTGAATAAAGTCAAAAATCTGGAATCTGGGAGCCGGCGGGAAACGGCCCTTAGTGGCTTTAGTGTCAATGCGGCACGTGGCACCGTAGGCACCGTGGCACCGTGGCACGCCGGTTGAACTGAGGCGTTAGGAACGGTTTAGGGTTTTCCCTTCATGCGGCCCATGACCTTGAGCCGCGCCTGCCTCCTTGATGCCAGGCTTGTTTTCCGATTCCCTTCTTGTGCTCCATGGGTGGCTCTAGGGTTTAGGGTTTAGGTGACATATCACGAAACTGGAAGGGTCGATCAATGTCAATAAGATACAGCACGCAAGACAAGGGAGGAGAGCACGAACGCGGAGGCATCAAAAATTCACGGGAGCTGTAGGGTTTAGGGTTTAGGGTTTAGGGTTTAGGCAGGCGCCGTTATTTTCGGCAGCATGGCTCCTTGCCAGGTGTAGGGGAAGCCGCCAGGGCGCCAAGGAAGCTGCAAGCGAGAGGTTTGTATACTTCAAATAGCTTTCTAAGTATGGTTCTTCAGTATGATGAAAATGTTCGCAACCTGCTGTATCGGAGATCATGCCAATACACGCAGAGCGGACTTGTGGATGCCTCTGTCCTCGAAGCTGATCTCGTCGAGAGGGTGAAGAGCTTCGCGAAGCGTTATCCGAACAGCAGGACAGCCCAGGCTTGCAAGGCTGTGGAGGGATGCACCCCCGACGCTATCGCAGAAGCCATGATCGGCGCTCGACATGTCAGCAGGCACGACGTGAGCTTCTGCAAGAAGCGATGACTGGATGGAGTGACGCATCCAGAGAGTGGTTTATGCAGCAGATTGAAGAAGCCAAGAAGGAGAAGGTCGAGACATACACCGCCTCAGCAGGCAACGAGGTGACTTCCTTCATCTCCATGACTCTCCTGGGCATCTCCTCGGTGTATGTCAACCATCAAGAAAAGCTGAAGAAGAAATTCGAAGAGATCGGACTCAGATCGTAGACTCAGTGCAAGAGAGTAAAGCAATCATGTGGAAGGCTCCGTATAGACCCGAGATAGCGAGTGCTGAGGAGATCCCCGGTGACTGTTTCCTTCCTCCGCAATGCACAAGCGGAGAAGCTCTGGCAGGGAAGAGAGGACTTCGCGATCGATGGTCGCAAGTTCACAGCTGTACATGTGAGCATCGTGCACGATCGATCTTTCAAGATTCGAGCCAAGAGAGGACCCTGGGGCAAAGGGGGCAGCTTGGCAGAGCTGACCCACCTGCTAACCTTGGGCGGCATGACAACGGCTGAGATAGCTGCCGTCTATCGCTATCAGCTGCTGCGCCAGTCCCTTGCAGCGGTCCAACTCCAGCCGCTGGCAGGCATGCTGGTCGCTGGGCGGCGCCAGGACAGCAAGTCCACAAAGGCTTAGGTCAGAAAGGCTTCATCGCTGTAGGGGCCAACGTCATCTGGAGACAGAGGGAGGTGGAGTGGATCGTCTCCTCGAGCTGCCCAGAGGCGAATGATACAGCATTTCGAGCTTTCCGAGAGAGCGAAGCGATGGAGGGAGTACACCTGACTCTGTTCAGCGAGGACCCGAAGATCAGAGAGGCGCTCGCAGTCGCGCCGTTGACAGCCGATCGCTTTGTGTCCAGAAATAAGTTGAAGAAGGCATCAAGGATGCAGAAGAAGGCAGGCGGCAAGGACGGCAAGGAGATCAAGATCATCATCAAGTCGACGGCGGCATCTGGTCGCTTCACGAGGAAGAAGATGGAGGGGCTGTGCAACGGCGGCAACACGTCCATCGCAAGAGTCAAGAGAGTCTTGTTGGAGATCGCTAACAGGCTCGAGATCAACGTTGAAGGCATCGACATGGAGGAGGATTTGAACACCAAGTCCTGGAACGGGTCCAAGCTATGCATCCTCCTCGGCTCCACGGAGGATGCTCGACGCATGATGAAGGAGCTGCCCTTCTATCTCGAAGGCGCAGCAACCAAGCTCGAAGCAGTCGGCTTCGACAAGGAGCCTGACTCTGAGGCGGCTGGTCAGCGGGGCACCAGCGACGCAGCGCAGCGACAGGAGGAGAGCGAGGGAGAGTGGCTGGAGTTTACAGACCTGGAGAGGATCACAATGGAGGCAGCATCTCCGTCAAGCCAAGAGGACATGCAGCTCGTCAGCGAGCTGTCAGCAGTCATCGAAGATGCAACTTCTTTGAACGAGGCGGGGACGAGCGAGCCGATCAAGCTGGTCCTGGACAAGGCCGTTGGCAACCTCCACGACACGTTCTACTCTCCGGGGAGCCTGGAGTTCATGTCGCTGGGAGAGTGGGCGAAGATGCCAGAGGAGCAGGGAGTTGGGCGCAACGTTCTCAAGGAGAAGCTGGGGAAGTGGCTGCAGAGCAAGCGCTGGACTCGCGTGCAAGGAGAGAGCAAGAAGGCAAGGAGGGGCAGCGCGTTCTCGCCACGGGCAACGGCAGCTGCTGAGCTTGAGCAGGAGGCGGAGAGCGACGACATAGAGCGTCGATCTCTTAGCCTCCTGTTCATAGCACTGAGTAAATTCGCAGAGATGCATGTGCTGGCCTGCTCGCTGAAGCTGGACAAGAAGGACCGACTGCGAGTGGAGATGAGGGAAGATGACGAAGAAGAGGAAGACATGGAGGAAGAGCAAGGCGAGGGCGAGGAAGAAGACGGGGCGAGCCCGTACCGAGCTTGAGCTGAGCCCAAGGTAAGGAGAGAAGGTAGGAGGCGACCGAAGGCCAAGGTGAGGAGAGGCAACTCTCCTGACTGAAGCTGAGGAAGCTGAATGGAGGACGAGTAGGTGGCGACCGAAGGCCAAGGTGAGGAGAGGCAACTCTTCTGACTGAGGCTGAGGAGGGTTTAGGGTTTAGGGTTTAGGGTTTAGGGTTTAGGGTTTAGGGTTTAGGGTTTAGGGTTTAGGGTTTAGGGTTTAGGGTTTAGGGTTTAGGAGCGCCGGTTATTTCAGGCAGCGCCGGTTATTTCAGGCAGCGCCGGTTATTTCAGGCAGCGCCGGTTATTCAGGCAGCGCCGGTTATTTCAGGCAGCG